AAAAAAGAAAAAAGCAAGAAATTAATTAAAGCGCCGGAACTGAACGAACTGTCAGCCAGAAGAGCGAAGACCTTATTTAATTTATTGCTGGATGAAAGCAATGCTACGGAAAAAATGAGCCTAAATTGTAAAGAAAACTAACCAGAAATAGTAGTATAGACACAACCAATAAGGTGCTACTGGAGAATAGTTTAATTTTGACGGATAAAGCGCGATTTGTGAGGCCAGAGTTAGCCTATAACTGCGATTACGATCTGATAATCGGTGCGTAAAGTTTTTATTGTTTGCAGGCAAAGGAGGCACTTTTAATATTTTCCGGAGGTTTTTAAGTGAAATCTAGGTCAGTCGTAGAGTTGTTACTGTATATCTATTTCGATTATGAGAACTTAACTTTATTTTATTTAAAAAACATTAAACATTGAGCCATGAGCACTGATTCAAAGACCGACCAGCTATTTTGTTACTCGGGGCACACAATTTTCCTTCAACCAAATTTGTTTCTATTGCCTTAGCTTCAGCTAAAGTTTTCACGGAGTCCTCGTTAAAAGCTTTTAAACGCTTAAACTTGTCAAAAACTATCAAATGAAAGCCGAAATCTTGGACAGCGAACGGGATTGGCGTAAATCTTGAGTGCGTATTCACTTTGCAACGGGTTTTTGTTTTCATGAGTAAATAAGATTTTCAGCAAATATCCAAATGATAGCAATGGTTAGTTTGTCGCTGCAATTTTTTTCAAGCAAAAACATTCCAACTTTTCCACCACGGCGGTTAGTTTGTTGAATTCCAGTGGATAATTTGTGGAGTTCTTTCACTTTAACCGCGCAGCGAAAAGTAAAGGTTTTTACGCAACCTGTTACTTAAAAGGAATTTAAATTTGATAATTTTAGAAAACTAACATCTTTGTCAGTAACAGTTTTTGGCGTTCAAAGTATCCCTCTCGTTTATTCCAAACCAACGACCTTTACCAAATTATGAATCTGGAAAATCCCATGTGGCGCCATTTGACGCGCGAGACGGAAAGATGTTGCTGTTTTCTAATGGTATACATGTAACTAAACAATATAATTTTGACCAATCAGAGCGCGTGTTGTGTCTAAATTATGTTACGAATGTAAATAGGCATCCCAAGGAAATAATTTAACTGTTAGCATTTGGAACCTTACTGCATCAATGCTGTCAAAGAAAAAGGCAGAAAGAAGAAAAGAAAAAGTCAAATCCGACTTAAGGTCCAAGAAAGTGAGCATGACATTTTTCTCTGTATCTAGGTATTCACCGGTAACAGAGACAGAAATACCGTTGTTCGTCACGAACTAGAGATACCAATCGGAGCTAGGATCTTCCGTATCTATCCACTGAATTTTACAAGAGCCGTAGAAATGAGGATGGAGCTGTATGGTTGTAAAGGTACCGAAGATTTGGTTACTTAAAATAGAAGTGAATGTGAATGGAGGATAAAGAACAGACGATACATTCTGATTATCTCAACACCGTCTGCCGCTAGTTTAAAGACACGATGAAATTAGTTACATACATACATACATACATACATAGGTTAGTTGACTACTCCCCATGGGGGCTTTTCAGGGCCAATTCCCACCCATCCAAACCCAGGGGAGGACATCCACGACACAGGAATCTCGTGCGTGGGAAATTAACGTCTCCTACCTCTAACCCTGCAGGAGACGGGGCCTACGGTTTATTCGTCCTTATCCGAGAAGACTAGAATATCTATCTATTTCTTGATTATAGAAAGGTAGCAATTTCTCCTCACTTATTTTAAGACCATGAATATTGGTCCGGCCGGGGCTCAAACTCGACCTCCCGCACAAAAATCCGGCGCTCTAACCAATTGAGCTAACCGGGAGTAGTATCCCTAATTTTTATCACTCAACTGTTTAATCTCGAAATATGCTCTGTGATTGGCTCAGAAAACTCGAGGCATCCTCTCTATTGAAACCAGAGCTACTTGCAATTTAGCCAATTGTGCCCTATGAGTCGTTCACGACGTTTGTAATTGTCATTCATTGATTGGTTTCCTCATGGTGTCCTCCTTTCCGATTGGCTATGATGCGGTATCACTAATTATGAGGTCTTGCTTCACTATTAATCGCTAATCTAAAAGGACCTTATTTTAGTCTTTCAATTAATTTTCCCAGACGGATGTTTGTATAAGCCATGTAAAAATGGAGGTACGTGCGTACCTGACTACATCAACGGAAACTACACATGCATTTGTCCTGATGAATTTTACGGTGATACTTGCAGATTAGGTAAGTGAGCTAGCATTTTTTAAATAGTGCTTGATATGCACTATAGTATTCATAGAGTTAAAGTGGTGGTTAATGTGACTGATTAATTGTAAATGGCCCGCGGGGGGAATCTAAATCGATCTAAAATTAAGTATATACGCTCGATTAAAAAAAAAAAAAAAGCGGAAGTCTTCCTTGTTTATCAAGAATACGCCTCTCAGACAGAATTGGGTCACACGTGGTCTTCTTAGAAATGAATTAAAACTATGAAAAACAGTTAGCAAGAAAATACAAATAGTTTAAGTTTTATTTACAGATGAAACGTAACAGTTGTCGTTTTAACGAGAAAATGAAACCAATAGTATATACAACAACGCTCCGAACAGCCAGATTGCAATGGTATGATCTACAATTACGTTCTGCTGATCACCAATTACGTTATCAGAGACTTTGTAGGCTCTAAATTAGAAATTGCACTCTGAAATGAACAAAAAAGCGGCAAAAGGTAGTCCTGCGAAGCCACGTGCCAATTTGACAAAATGCAACCGCTGCAAGGTTAATATCGAAAGCCCCAGTGTCCTCTATATTTAACAATAATTCATGATTCCAAAGTTAATCCTTGGCTAGTTACCATTTTTTAAGTTCGATAACTTACACATTTAATTTTACCATCTAACTGACCGTCGGCATTTGTTGAACAGGTAACTTATGTGAGCTTGGTAAGCCTTGCTTGAATGGAGGTAACTGCACAGAAATCAGATACTGGCCTTATTTCAAGTGCACATGTCCTTCTAATTACACTGGTTTCAACTGTGGATTCGAGATAGGTAATGCAAATCACCCAATCATAGTCCAGACACTTAAAAGGCGCAATAAAAACAAGCAGCACCTGAGGGGTAGGGGCGAAAATGAACGAACGAAGGAAAAAAAAAAAAAAAAAAACAGACCAGAAAGACACAAACACAAGAACTTTTTTAATCAAAATTTAATTCGAAAATATTTGGAAACTATGAGAGTGTTTCAAAGTTAAAAAACAATAAGTGTCGACAGTCAAACAAGTCTCCAAAGCGCAACAATGTTTGCCAGTTTTTGTTGTGCGATGGTATATATAGGGTTATTCTCGTATTAAAGCAGTGTTCAATTTAGTATCGAAAGTGATCCTAGATCGCTTTGGTCCTGCTTTACTTCGCCTCGTACCACCATCTCAGCCAATCAAGTGGTGAAACGATCTTAAGTTTGCCTTCCCTACCCCTCTCCCCTTTTTATCTCCTAGCCCCTGTTGTTCGAAAACCGATTGAATTATCCCTCGATTAGAGGTTAATCGACGATTAAATTTCTTATCCAAAGGATAGCTAATCTAGGTTTAAAATACCGTTCCTAAAAGCATATTTATCCCTCGATTAACTATCCCACGATTAAGCTGAGATTAAACCAGTCAAACCGGTTATTAGGAGCTACGCGGCTACGCGCAAACAAAAAACAAATTGGAGGGAAAAATGGCGGAAAGTGAGAGTGCACTTGGAAATGGAAACCAAACGAAAGATAGAAAAAGAAAACAGATTTTTTCAGTTTATGAGATTGAAATCATCACCGATAATGTCAAAAAAAATCTGGACTTAATCCAGTCCAAGTTAACGAATGCTGTGACCAACAAAAAGAAACAAATGCTCTGGGAAGAAATAACCCAAGCGGTAAATGCTGTCGGAACAGCGAAGCGAACGGTTACGGAGGTAAAAGACAAGTGGAAAAATCTCCATATAGCAACGCCAAGAAAGAATTTGCACAATTCAAGAGGGAGATCAAGGTAACTGGGGGTGGTCGGCCTCCAAAGTCGCCGAGTGCTGCCAGCAGAGAGATAATTGAGGTGCTTGAGGACACGCCGGCGTTCAGCGATTTGATTGGCTTTGAGACAGGTTTGTAGACAATTGTTTCTAGGTTACCAAATATTTTAAAATTGTAGACGGTCAATTGCAACCGGTGAAGTTGTTTCGGCGGGGTTTTCAGCTCATCAATCGCCTTCTCGTCTTTGAGCGTACAAAATGTTCGGACACAAGGGAGGAAAAGATAAGTTTAAAATTTGGTTAAAATTTGCTTTGTCAAAGACAAAGTGCTCCTATTTTTTCTTTATTAATCTTTCACTAAGGAGTGTTCTTCAATTATTTACGAACGGCATTTTATAAATAACTAGTTTTTACCATTTCGTCTTGACGCAACTTTGTTTAGGTTTGTGATTGATGAAATAATTTGTTGTTGTTCCGGTTATTATGTCCTACATTTTCGGTCACTAAACTGTGGTACGGTTCTCATTAGCAATTCACTCTGGTTCCACTTTATCTGTCTATAAGAAGCCTAACTTTTGGTACATGACTTTCAGATTTTGTAAGCATTTTCGTAAGTGATTTCACTGAGTTAAGTCTACTAGTACAGAAATTCATTGTGTGAATTTAAATAATTTATTTTTGTACATGTTAAAGCTTAAGATTCCTTGGGGGAGAGATGCTCCTTCTGTTGTTTCATTATGTGATGCATAAAACTGAATTCACACCTTATAAGCCTGAGTGAAACCTTAATTGTGCTTGAAATATTTTATAAGAGAAGATGCTCATTTACCGTCAGAGTCTGCAAAGATTGGGACTGAAGAAGACTGTTTGAGCATCAGTGAAGATGGGCATTCTTCACCAGCCAAGGCTGATGAACGGAAGAAGCCTGCAAAAAGAATCAGTAATGATGATGTTCTGAAAAAAGCAGTATGAATGCCTGTGTACTCAGAAGGAAACTTTGAATCTTAAAAAAACAGAAATTTAAATTGCAAATTAATCTTTTGGAGCAACAGGTGAATGCCAAAAAAACCTTCGGAACTGCATTAAATGCAAATTTTGTGGTTGCTGACACTGATTCATTTTAAACGAGGAATATTGTAAAAAGTCCTCCAAAAGAATTTTTTTGGTCAAATGTTCTTCTTGTATAATTTATAATGAAAAGTAAACAATGTATTCTGTTCTTAAACACAAAGGCGCGCTATGTAAAGAAGTCTTCCCTGGGAAGACCTAGGCTCATTTGTCACTTACCGTTGACGTGTGCGGGTCAAATTCAAATGCTGGTAGACGAACAAAAGGAGCTAATGAGATATCTGTTGTTTACTTCCACTAGCATGGTGGCATGAGGTAACGTGCAAACCACCCACTTCGATCTCAAATTTACCGCCGCAAATAAAGACAATTTCCATTGGAGAAAGGAAATACAAATCTCAAAAATTCCTGTATTGTGATGAAGACGTAAAACAATTTTGAGGAATGCGCCCTGTGTTCACTGCTTTCGAGTAGCTGTAGCTCAAGCTGAATTGACCCTAAGAGTTCTACATTTCACGACGGTTGATTAACAAATGATCCAGTAGGTCCTATGGCTCCTTTTATAGCGCGCCTTCGTGTTTAAAATGTATTTTGATGCAATAAAACAGATTCTTGAGACAAAATTATTTTAATGTTTTTTTCTTCAACCAGAAACCCCTTCAATTTATCTGTGAATTTATATATTTTATAGGGAGTTAACTTACAAGAAAAACTGATTGCATTAGGCAGAAAAACTTGAATTAAAATTTGTCAGAAAAGGGTGTTGCAGATGTGGTCTCGGATGACCTTGCCATGCTCTGGACCATGGAAGCAAACAAGATTAGGCTGATCATCAGCCTCATCATGGCCATCCAAAGGTTCAATTCTCAGAATTGCAATGTTATGTAAAACTGAACATGCTCCAATGATGATGGATACTTTTTCTGGCTTCATTCTGATCTCAGAATGAAGTAAATGGAACCTTCGCTTCCACCAGCCAAAGGCTTGTTCTATTGCCACTCTTGTTCTTTTGTGGGCACTGTTGGACTCTTGCTGCTTGTCTGTGACTGGATCCAGGTAAGGGGTCATCAGGTAAGGCTTACAAGGGTAACCAGTGTCACCTAACAGTAAACCATCTTCCAGGGACTGGTGTTGGTTGTTATGTTGTTGTCCAATTCTTGAATCCCTACATATGAAGCTGTCATGGGTGCTGCCCGGCCGTCGTGCTACAATGTTAGTAAACATGCCTAAAATGAAACAGCAAATAAGTAATGTGACCATTTCTTACCCATGATCTAGAAAATCTCATCTCAGTTTATTACAACAATGTACTGCAAAGAGATACCACAATAGTCGTGTCTATGATTAACTGGGGGAACTGATTCAAATATCTAATTTACTTGCATAACCTTCTCATCATTTATTTAATTTGTGATTTGAAAATTGGGGGGCTGCATTGTTTTGAAATCCCTGCTGATTGGTGCACTCTGTTGGCCATTAGCTGTGCAATATATTCACAAACACCTCACATTTTTTCTTTTTTCTTCCTTGTTTTTTTCTTTTTTATACTGTTATTAAAATATTGGTGTGATAATCTTGGTTAATTTCCATGTGTTTTTGCAAACCAAACTTTACACATACCATTTGAATCAAGTGATTTCATTTATTTTTGTTTTAAAAAAGGGTTGTCAATTGGGAACAGGATGTATGTGAACTAAAATGTTCAACAATATATTGAGTCAGATCTTCTCCTTTTTATACCCTTAATTCCTAATCAAAAAAAATTTTTATCACTACTCCCATATCCTGAATATATGAAACTACAATCTAGTAACACCCATCAATGCAAGCCCATAGCAGGTGGTTTGCTAGATATCTCAATCTAAAAACAACTCTCAGGGGAGTTCCCCTCCCTGTCAAAGGTTATTTTACAATTTTTATGGAACACTAACTGTGATATTTTCGTATGTTACTAACCTTTGTGATTGCAAATTGCTTGCACATTTATGAAATGAAACCCTTTACGATTGACAAAATCGTTTTCGTTTTGATGTGGTGCGTGAATCTTGATGTGAGTGCCGTCAACACAACCAATCACTCCAGGAAACCCCCCATTGGTGAAAAAACCGCGTTTGTTTTGAAATATCCCTGCTTTGGTCGATGGCCACTTTATGTAGTTTCCTTGTTTCTGTGCGAGGGCAAGGGAAAATTGGCTGATAATTCGGGACACAGTTGATTTTGACAAGCCCAGAGTATCTCCAATAACTTGAAGAAAGCTTCCGGAGGCGAAAAAGCGCAACGATACAAGGACTTGCACAGTTGTCGACAAGGCATGGTTTCGAGATGTATCTCTTTCGAGATCGTCGCGAAGGAGCTCAGACATTAAATTCTATGGACTCTCGACCAAAACGATATCGACTTCTCAATTCTTCACAGTGAAATCGTCCGGGGAAAAGTCGTCTGGAAGCCTAAATGTCCTTTCTTTCCTTCTTGGGGCCGGCATTAAGCCTAATCCGCGAAGCAACAAGTCGGCCATTTTGTTTTGTTTGGGGAAAGTTTACCCTCGATTAGTGAGTTAATCCATCTCGCTAGGTGTGTTAAAATTAACCTTTATTTTAACCCAGGGATAGCGCTAATCGCGCTTTCAGGAACAGAAACTAATCGTGGGTTAGTTTATAATCTTAGGTTAGGGTGATTTAATCGAGGGTTAGCGCTAATCGGCTTTCGAACAACCGGAGCCTGCGCTCCAAGCTGAAAGCAGTTTGCTTGTTCTTACTTTGAGCTCTAACTAACGATAGCACTTACTTTTAAAGCTGCTGTAACATACTTCCCCTAATATCGGTGATACTTTCCTATTTTTACAGGTGATCCATGCAATCAAAGCTATTGTCTTAACAATGGCACTTGTCAGCGTAGAGAATCCTGGCCATACAGCCAATGTAAATGTAGCTCCGGATACGCTGGTTTTAATTGTGGCACCCACATAGGTATGAAACGGCTCAAAAATTTATCAAAACCTCAATTTATATTGGATCGCACTGCACAACGTGTTCATTAAGTAATTCTCGTACCCCACCAATATCTTTCATATCCATCATCATAACATACGACCTTTCCATCAAAATATTGTGTTCATTTGCTTCACAGGCGATCCTTGCTCCAACACTTCCTGTCCTAAGGGCTGGACTTGTAAGCCCGTAAATTGGTCCATTGGGTTACATTGTGGTTGTAGATTTGGAAAATGCATTTATCCACCAGGCAAGTTATCTTCCATTATTAATCTCCGAAGGCTTTTATTGTAAGAGTTCTCTGGACAAGTCAATTTCTCCGAGCAAAATTTTTATTGTGGCATTATTTTTTTTTATAATTATAATTTTTTTTTTCAATTTTCATTCCTATTTCTTTCCGACTAGTCTATTATAAAAATTCAAAGGAAGATTGTGTGATTAAAAAACAAATAGAAGGGAACGCGCGTTGCAGAGAAAATCATCCTGTGACTACCGTGTGGCTAATTTTGGAATTTCCAACCATTTTGAGTTCCTGACTGAGTGCTATTCGTTGAAACAAGGCGATATCTGATTGAACAACAAGAAAAACTAAAAATAACTCATCCTTCCATTGGAAGTTGATTTTAAAGTCTATACTAAATTGAATTTTTCGGAAGATGCTTTACCATATAATCTCGCGTGCGACCCGAACAGCCGAGAGATGTAAAAATGTTCAATCAATTTTTTTTCATCAGTTCTTGAATGCCTGTCACATCCATGTCTAAATGGGGGAACGTGCTTAGGGGATGAGTCAAGAAATGTCACTTGTAGTTGTCCTCCAGGATTCTATGGCTATAACTGCGAATATAAACAAGGTAATCAAAAAAATATCAGAGAACTATAGATTTAAAGCAATGTTTATATATATGTTCCAGTTTTCAGCTAGAAGAAAAACTGTATTTTCGTAAAACTGTTCTCTTTTCTCTTTCTGCGCGACTGACTTTGCAAAGTTATCACAGCTAAAGTGATCACAGAAAATGGATATTTATAGCTTACCAGGAGCTACTATATATGCAGGTAAATTTAGGGATCTCACCAGCTGGGGACGTTGTTCCCCAAGTCCTGAATGGTAAATTGCTTTTGCATCATATTGGCTTAAAACGCGGTGCGAGTTTACCTAACCAAACGTAGAAATCGGCATTACCATCTCCTTTCAATTATTTTTCCACTGTAGAAACAGGTTTCTTCTAGTTGCATTGGCTACCAATAGCGCGCTCTTGACAATGGGGGAGCTTAGACCCCATGAATTCTAATAGTTGTAGCCATTTCTAATTTTTACCTAACTTTGGAATTCATCTGAAACCACACAGAAATATAACCAATACGATAAAATATTGTACATTTTCGTATCTTAGCATCCGAAAGTTGTGCTTGTTTAAACAGATGATGCGTGTTCCGATGACCCTTGTCTCTATAATGGAACCTGTATACCAGATAACAACCCGCTGGGCTTTAAATGCAATTGCCGTTCAGGATACATTGGATTTAATTGTGGCATTCATAAAGGTAACAGAGGTTTCTTTGATAGCATTCTACCTACTTTCTTATATTGTATATTTACATTCCAGGCAAGAACTTCAATCGATCATTAAGTTGGTTACGTTTCATAGATTTTATTTTATCATTTATTCAAGTGGTCAGTTAGATAGTTTTTCTGTAAGTCAGTCAGTTACTCAACCACTTACACTGTACTCGCTGGCTCGCTAAGTCGCTGTCTCACTACGCGAGTCAGTCGGTCGGTCAGTCAGTCAGTCAGTCAATCAGTCAGTCAGTCAGTCATTCAGACAGTTCGTAAAAAACTAGTCGGGCCATCAATCAGTTTTTGAATCAGTAATTAATCAACTTGTCGATGGGTCAGTTATTTGGCATGGATTGCTTGCTCAGACATCTACGAGGGTCTCAATGAGGTTAACCGTCAACCGTCAAATGGATAAAATATTAGCCGTCAATCGTCAAAAACGCAATATTTTTACAGTCAACCGTCAAATAAGTAAGCCAATGTTAGCTGTCTAATGTCTCAGAAATTCTTAAATAAGAACTAATTGATTGCCTTAATTGGGATCAAGCTCTGTTTATTATAATAAAAATAATTGATATATCACAAAAATACATTTATGTAAGTCCTTTAAGTTCTAGTCGCAAATAAAACTGGTTAGCGATAGAACTGACTTCCGGTGTCGTAAAACGTTAGTCATTTATTAATGAAAGGTATTATAAATGAACAGTTCTTTACAAACGCGTCATTATGAAAAGTTACAGCCAAATCCGCGTGTTTAATTCGTTTTATAAACGACATTCCAAAGGAATAAACCATCAAAGTCAAACGACCTAAAATTTAGCCGTCAACCGTCAAAACGGCTTATTTTTAACCTTCAGCTATCAACTTAACCCAAGTTCCCCGCATAGAGACGCTCATGTACCAACTTACCAACAAATTTATCATTCAATCAATCGACTGAGGATTGATCGATACACCAATAATACTTCACTCAATGTACTTATCAAACCTTTTCGCAAAATGTAAAGGAAAGGTTGCAATTTCTTTTCTTACACCGAGTTTAAAGTCTCGAGTTTGAAGGTATTAAAACTCCATGATTTACGAATTACCTCTTGAATTACAGAGTTAAAAGACTATATGAACTGCATTTTACTAAGTGACATTTTTCAACAGGCAATCCTTGTTTAGATGAAGACAACCATGAGCCTTGCAAAAATGGCGGAAACTGTACGCAACAGGATAATGCATTGGGATACATATGCAAATGCACATCAAAGTATATTGGGTTTGACTGCAGCTTTCTAAAAGGTGATGTATATTCTTAAAATTTATGACATCTTAAAGAAAACTTCCACTAATCGAAGAGATCGTCGTTAAATTATGCAAAAAATAAATTTGTAGTAAATGAGATGCTTAGTGCGAGAAACCGAAATTCTGTGTGTGTTGCCATATAGGATAATATGACGTGTTACGGTTGCCACTATCCGATGATCTGTATGATCTCACTGGGACTCCCGCGAACAAGAGAGCTGTTGTTCGCTGATAATAGTGGCAGCCGTACAACGCAATGCAAGCTAAACTGAATCCCATAGGGAAAATTGCATGACGTGGATCTTGTTATTTTGGTATTACAAAGGATAGTTTTCTCCAAATCTCATTTACCAAAGAGGCTCTTTGAATATAATGGATAAGTTTCTAAAGAAAGTGTGATGCTGCGTCGGTGGGGGTAACAAAGTAATTTAGTTTTATCAACTGAATGGATAATGTAAATTGACGACCGTAAAGAGTTTAAAAGCTGACATTTCGAGCGTTAGCCCTTCGTCATAGCCCTTCGCTCTTACCTTCTCTTTGAATATGTCAGTCTGTATTGAATCTAACTTGGGTTGAGGAAACAATAGCAAAACCGCTCCGCGCAAATTGAAATTTAGCCAACGGTCCTGCCTTGTGGCCTTCACTAACCTTGTGTATTGCGTTTCCACAGACGATCCTTGTTTTCCTAACCCTTGTCAAAACGATGGAAACTGCACTAGGGACAATGGTCTGAAGGATTTCATTTGCAACTGTTCCTTTGGATACACTGGTAAAAAAATGTCAGAACCCGATAGGTAGGGTGGTCTAGGAGTTACATCTCAGTGCTGTGTCATTGATCATTTGACACTCCTTTTAATAATGGTCTAGGACTGAGTGGAGTCGCACCAATTCTGTCCGTAGTCAAACTGGATGCTAAAAAAAGATCAAGAGAAAGCGAAGCGGGAATCCAATCAGTCAATCGCCAGTATGATTACCGAAAGAATTGCACGACACGAAGCTTAAGTCCCTGTACCAAATGATTAAAATTATGACAATATTTTAGAAACAAAGAAGCCATCGACTAGACGTTTTCATTAAAAAACAACAACAATAACAGCAACAAAAAAAACAATAACAACAGTCAATGTAGCGAAATGCACCAGAATAGACGCGCACTGTCTAATTGTATAGGCATGACTCGTCAACTGCCCTATAAAACTCGTTTGATGCCCAATACCGTTGGACAAACTTTTTATTTTGGTCAGTGTGGAAAGATGCGTTGTTGATGGCAAATTTCTATTCAATTAAGTTTAAAAATGTGCAAAATTGATGCAAATCTGGCAATGTTCTTAAAACTTTTTGTCCTTAAGTAGGAATACATTATTCTCCATACTGTTCTCTACAAAGTTCATATGGCGTGGACAAAGAGAATTGGTTAGAAAGAAAAAAAGAAAGATAGAGCTTCTTCAATTGATAATCACTATTGTCTTTAAAATGAACTACGATGTTTGATACTGCATTGAGATATTATATGCTGGTTATTAACGGATAAAGGGTATCCAGAATATTAAGGAGATCATCACAAATCAAAGAAGGGCCAGGAATGGAAATAAAATGATTTCTCTAGGAACTGAGTCACTCAAGCTTTATTTCCTAAGACGGACCATAAACATAAAAGGTTAACCCTTTAAATCCTATCATCCATATGCATTTTACCTGCAACGTTCTTTAGATCTTTCCCGACGGTATACCAAAAGGAGAAATCGTTTTACGAATGAAAAGTTTCTTAAGTTTTTTTGGTAATCATTTTCCTTTCTTCTCATTGCCTAAATGTTTGATTCAGCCTTAATACTCTGAGGAGAAACCAGATGCTAGCCGTTCTTAGTGGTTAAAGGGTTAAGGGTGTTTGAAGTCTTTTATGAAACATACTTTCTTATTGGCTAAGTTCTCACGAACTGAAAGAGTGTGTATGGAATGATAAAGATAATCAATTAAATTTTCACATTTTTACTTTCTAAGGGGTGCTCTCGCCGAGCAAGCTCTGAACTTTATCTTAAAACAAACAGAACTCGCACTTCACTTTTCCGTGATTTTCTCTTCAACATAATTACCATTTTGGGGAACAGTATTCCTGATGACATTGAGTTATCTACTTCACTGGACTCCTTTAAGCACAAGCTGAAATCGTTTTTCCTCTGGCGTTTGCATTATGTTTTTGGTGGGGACAATATTCGCTCGTATAAGATTATTTGTCCAAAATGCAGACGAGTGAATATAAGAAACGCATGTTCTTGTTAAGATGCTTTTATTTAATCATATATGAGTTTTTTTTTTTAGGTTTATGGGGTTGGTAAGGTGTTTGAACCTTGTAGGGGATGCTATATCCTTTTGTTCTAACACCTGTATATATTCTACATGCACAAATCTTGAAATAAATAAATAAATAAACATATCTCAAATTTACTAAGTTCATGGGAACTGGAGTCACTGGATGCCATGGACACATTGTAAAAAGCCGTGCAATAATGGAACGAGGACAAGGAGGCGTACATGTGATAACCCCAGCCCAGCTTTTGGTGGAAACAACTGCGAAGGTTTACCCACTGAAACTGAACCCTGTAACCAAAACAAGTGTCCAGGTAGGAGCTCTTTGCATCTTTTACTTTTCTTAGCCAGTTAAACGCTGCATCCAGAAGCTAAAAGATAGAAACCTGTTCGAAGTGACGAGGAAGAAATGGAAGTCACTTGTCATACTGAACAAGAATCCTTCTTTAGCTAAATTTACCTTCCAAAGGACAATTTTGCATCTGTTTTGGTGCCATACGACGTTTAAATATACTGTTTCCCGCGCAGTGTTTCTGTCAATCAAACTGATCTACAAAGGCGGCCCCTATAACGTAACATATCTTTTAAAAAAATAATAGTAAGAAGAAAAGTCTTTGCTCATTTTTCTTTCCTTTTCAGCCGAAAGTGTAAACTACCAGGTTAAGTTAAGAAGTGAAGGATGGAAAGATTCTCTTGCAAATTCAAGCAGCAAAGACTACAAAAAACTTGTGGACAGAGTCAAAAAAGCTGTAAATACATGCCTTTCATCATTTCTCTCCGTCAGATTTTTGATTCACTAAATGACTTGAATTTAAATTCGTTGGCTTTTGATTTTAGGTTAACGACTCATACTACAGAAGAGATGAAGTTGAAGTTGTTATACTAAAGTTCTGGTAAATCTTTCCTTTTAGATTAATAAAAAATGCTGATATCGTCAGCCAACGTTTTTAATTCGTCAACAAGGCATTTAGAAATCAATAAACAGTGTAACCTGCATTAGGCGGTCACCCTGTATTAAGCGGTCAGTCCCAAGTTTGTTTCCTCCTCATCACTTTAATTTTAACCTCCATCTAGAAGTCACCCCCATTTAGCGGTCGCCTCTACAAGCAGTCCTAAGAGCTTTTTTTACTGTCCTCCACCTGTATTGAGGGTGACTGAGAGCGGGAACCACTCAAATAAGACTATCAATACTATTTCAAGTAATTTATAATCCATTTTTCTCTCAAAAATCAGATTAAAAAGTATTTTTGAGCGAGATTAAAGTGAAGTGCTTCTACGCGTAGCTATTGTAAGAAAAATGTCACTATATGAAAAAAGGAAAGCTTAAACTAACTGTTGATACACAGTGTAAAGTATGACTATTACGATCCTATCAAACCTGACACGTCTAGCTTTCTTGCAGCATTTTTGAAAAATCTTGAAATATCGAATTAAGATTTAAATTTATTTACATAAGGCTAGACACATAATTTCACAATTAAGGAAAGTTGTTCATAAAGTGGTCAATTCTTGCATAACGTGGTGTTGGTTATCGTTGTTTACAAAACTTCTTATATGAAGAACCTGTTTAAAGCGGTCAACCTGTATTTAACGGTCACCCATTCTCCGTGGGTGACTGTCTGTTTGATATAGGCCGGGTTGGATTGTATTCATAATCTATAGTCTCATTTAATTGCATACCAATACATCTGACAGTATACATTTCCTCATTTTAGAATGTTTATCTTTTTTTTTAAAAGGTCTGAATATGTAAATCATCATTCGTTACTACAATTTTTTTGTAGGAAAGGAAGTGTTTATTCAAGTTTTAACGTCACGTATCAGAGCATAGACTCGTTACAGATTGTCTCTCTGCTGGAGGAAATAGCAGAGGGAACACTGCGGCACATTTTTGCTGAGTTACTTAACATCACAACCAGTCACGGTATGCAAAGAAAATTGTATCAGCTCAAGTCAATAACAAATATATGTGTCTGTGATATTGAATGATGCACGCTCAGAACAAGAGCATTCCACTGAGCATTGGCTTCGTTTATTTGAGCAGCGATTTTTTCCCCAAAGCTTTTTATTGCTTTGGGAGTTTCGTCGGTGGAAAAGAGTGAGTGCAAAATTTAATTCTTAATAGCGGCCTTTTTAGTTGTTGTATATATATTTTTAGGTAATTGACGATCGTCTCTGATTGTTCACGTTTGAGCTAATAAAAAGCAGAGGGTGCCAACGGTTTATTCGGGGCGTATCAGGCTAAAACTAATATGTGGCGCGTCCGGCAAAAACTGAAATGTAGCGCGTGGATTTTACAGGAAGGCAGGCGTGAATTGTGAATTTATGAGCCAGCGAGAGGCGTGATTTACTCTTGAAGTATACATGACTCATGATCTTTCTTTCATTTCAAAAAACGAGAGGATTTCCATGAAAACTAGCGCATAAGAGAAATTTGAAACTTTCCCACTTAAATCCGTGACGTATGACATACTGTTTGAAATATGTACATGTGACGATTGAATTCTCTAAAGTTCTCGCGCGAAACGAGATCAGGAGCCCTCATTTGCTACCCTCTAAAACGAGGTAGCAAAGGTGGTCTGCCATTTAGATCCTATCTGAAGTATCTGTGTAAAATGTTCTATTTTATCATTTTCGCCTCCAAGTCCCACAAGAAGCGCCAAGAATTCTGGAAGCCAAGAGCACCACTTCGACAAGTATTAACCTAACATGGACAAACGTATCCGAACATTCTTCTCTAAAGGGCTATCTAATCGTGTACAAAGAAGTCGGGAAGAAATTCCACACCAATACCATGAAGTCAGTTGTACCAAATCAAAGTAATACAGTGCTAGAGGATTTGAAAATGTTTAAAAACTACAGCATCCGTGTTTTTGCCTTTACGAGCAGTGGAAACGGAGTACCTAGTGATGCTGTCAATGTTAGAACTCAAGAAGATGGTAAGTTTAGTGATCTAATGTTGGGATTTTAAAAATCTCTTTTTTTCTTCAGTTATCACTTTTCATGAATGGATGCGATATCGCCCAGAGACTAAGAGATCCGAGTCTCTCTCATCTATTGGTATTTATTTAATCAGATTTTTGTCTCGTTAGGTGGTGCGTTTAATAATTTATCATGTTTCTTTTGTTTCAAAGTGCCAAGTGAGCCGCCCCCTGACAGTGTTGTCAAATCCACAAGTTCAAGTACAATCAATGTGTCCTGGGGACCAATCAGCCCAGCTTTCATCCACGGGATACTTGTGGGATACGAAGTTAGATATGCAAAGGATGCCGAGGCACCGGAATGGGAGAATAAGACAGTTGATGCTGACACACATGAAACAGTTTTAAGTGATCTGGAATATTTTACTCCGTACCAAGTTGTGATCTGCGCAGGGACTTCTAAAGGGTGTGGAAAAAATGTGTCTCACTCTGCTACCACATTTGGTGATGGTGAGTTGTCGACTATTTCGTTGAAAATGTTCAAGGTACGAGTCTATTTTCAAACTTTAAGCAGCCCTGAAAAACGCTCTGACCAACATTGGAATTTTTCATGTCATCGAAAGACAAGGAGGTCACGTGACCTGGTCGATATGGGATTTATCTCACAGCCGACATCCGGTTGGCGAGCGATGATCATCTAAATTGCTGAGAAAATCCTTTGTTCATTATGAGACAATACTCCACAACGGGCTCTTCATTCATGTACTGCCCATTATTTATATTTTTTCTTTCTTTCGGCAGAAATCCATCTATGTATTGGACTAACCTAATTTACTTTTGGTTTGCCTCCAGAACCCAGTAAGCCTCCGCAAAACGTGACGGCTGAGAAATTAAAGGCAGCAGAATCCATCAACGTCACCTGGAATGAAGTGCCTTTTGGTCACGTCAATGGTCTGTTGATGGGATATTCCATAAAGTACCGAAGGGTTAAAACAGCCGAAGTAAATGTAGTTCATTCAGTGGAGGAGACGGCTGTGGCGAAATCAAATGATCTCTGGATAGTCCTCAGTGTTCAAAGCTACTCGGTTTATGCAATAAGAGTGGCAGCTTTTACTCAGAAAGGCCTGGGACCGTATAGTGAATATGAATATGGTGGTTAGTATGCATGAGAATAATTTGGAATGACCTTGCACTGCAATCACTGGCTGCAGAGATTTGTTTGACAATGTTGATTTGGTTTTTCATAATCTTCTTTTTCATCATTATCATCAAAATCATCGTCATCATTACTATCATCGCATTTTCTTCCTCTTTGTCATTGTTCAACAAGGACAAAATTAAAGGGGTTACGATTCTTAACAAACCGTGGAAGATAATTTGATTTAATCAGCTGAGTTTATAATGTAAATTTTCCGCCGTTAAAAGTTTCTAAACCAACGTTTCAAGCGTTAGCCCTTCGTCTGAGTGAATGGCTAAAAAGCTATGCCCTCTGAATTAAAGAATTTTGGACCCAGTCCTTCCTATCAGGACATGTTATTACTAGGCGATCCGTAAGGGGAAGGGGGGGAGGGAAGGTTAGAAGATTTGGGGGTCACATGGTTTTCAGAGGGTCTGATATAGTTAAAGAGGGGACCATAGAGTATCATGACTGCTAATGACTAGGGTTTATTAGAATACTACAGAGATATATAGGGGGATCAGGTAACATTTACTGTCACAAATTAAATACTTCAGAAAGTTCCCCGGACCCCTTTCTCCCCGGCGATAATAAATGATTAGCCTCTAATAGTATGGTTAATATTAATCTTCTTTGTCTTCGTTTACTCTTAAGAAACCTGTCGCTGTCCAAAGACCCTTTACACAAATTATTGGTCAACTCCACCGTATTTAAAAGTGAATCAAGAAGACAACACTCTGGAAGGCATTTTTGGTCACATCGTCACAGATATGATTTATACAGCTTGTGGAGAATGTCCTGCATACGGTTCCACTGAAATCGACATAACTTCAAACGGAAATAAACAGCCATCCGGAAAAGAAAGCCTTGTAGACGTTCTTGGTGACATCAAGGACGTTCCACAGATAAGTTTTCCAATCTATGGCAACAAATACGTTACAAGATTTGGGGGGATTCACGCTTATGTTAACCTTGTAGAGTCCCCAGGACTGGCCTTTGTTGCTGCGAAGAGAATTCCGGGAGCGGCTGCAACGAACATGATACACGCTGTGTTTTCTTGCTTTCCATTGGTGATACTGTCAGCATGTATGTCGTTTATTTCCGGGTTTATTATTTGGCTTTTGGTGAGTATACAGCATTTCGCTGTTATTTGGTCGATCAACAAAGGCTTTTCAGTGGTAGATTTAAGGGCACACCTTCGTGCATGTCAAAGTGTAGGGCAATCATGATGATAGACTAAATTACGGTTTACAGCGAAATACTGTCATGAGTATTATAAAATCTAAGCGAGTACAAAATCAAAGAAATAAGAAGTACATGACTATGCAAGAAAATAGATATACATTTGTATTGCCATAAACATATAAAACATTATCGCGAAGCTAATGTCTAGTTGACTGTCTGTAAAACGTCGCTTCCTGCACGATAAATGCGGACTGGTGCCTGAGTACGCGATACCGACATACGTAGAGGGTTGAAAGATCTAAAAGAAAACATATGCTATGAACTCCTAAAACCTGGTAAAGAATTCCACCCTCTAAGTGCAACAAATGTTCTTGTTGTATTAATTAAAAACTGTGCTCTATACCATATAACTAAAGTAAATTGCAGATTGTAATACACTATATGATTGAGGTTGAAAGATCGGAAGCTAGTTTCTCTCGTCATGGTTTCCTATCTAATCATACAGGATACCAAGAACAACCCGGGAGAATTTCCAACCAGTTTTCGAAAAGGTGTAGGTGAGGGATTCTGGTGGTCATTTATCTCCATGACGACCGTTGGGTAAGCAGACTCTTACTGGGGCCGAATCACTTATCGGTTTTCTCCTTATCGGCCTTTATTGTTACCGTAACCCCAAGCCTTCTCTCTAATATGTTGCATAATGCTTATAAACAAAGGCTGCGGAGGAGAATTCCAATATCAAAGTTCAAGCTTGAAGTTATTTTTCTTTAACGGCGTTAACAATGTTAACCCTTTACACCGTAGCATCAGTATACATATTCTCCATACTGTTTTCTATCCGTTTTCTAGGCTACAAACAGGGAGAATTTAATTAATCACAAAACTGTCTTTAGTGGCTGTTCATTTTCCTTATTCTCGTGACCTGAGTGCGTGACTCTGGGGTGATACTGTAACGAGAAAATAGATGCTAGTTACTCTTTATTGTGGAGGGCGAGTTAGAGGCCATGAGCAGAAATCAAACTTTTGTTGCTTAACTCACATTTACATTCTTGGACTCAAATCGGATGAATACTTCGTAGGAATTCATATTTTCTGTTTCAAGCTTCTCCCCTTCCCTTTTCCTCGCTTAACTGCCACTTTAAAGGCTACAATATTTCTACTTCCAAGGTTCGTGTTTCTACTTTTCTGTCTGCCTCTCTTTCCTTCGATCTGTTTTTCTGTCCTTTTGGCTGCCTGCCTGTCTGACTATCGATAATTTTTATCTCTGACTGTCTGTCCGTTGATTGGTTCGTCTGTTTGTCTGTCTGTCCGTCTGATGGTCTGTTTGTTTGTTTTCATTTTCTCAGTTATGGAGACCGCTCACCCCGTTCTGTTCCTGCCCGTATGTTTGGAATCGCATGGACCCTCACAGGACTCGTTATCATCTCAATTCTTGT